CAAGTCAATGGGGAAGCCAGATTCACTTAATGTTCTGATCGAGGCTTCCTGAGACAATAACAATCACACGCTGTTCCCAACCTCCCCCCCTTTTTTTGTTTCAATGGCTGTGAATTAAATGAGTCCCCAACAGTTTGTGAATAGTCTAACAGAAGTTTACCACAGTCTTTTGGGGATAAGGCTGATAAGCACCCACCTTTATCTCCCTTGAAATGCTGCTAATGACTAAATTGCCAATTAGCTGTACAAGGCCAAACGGAGCACAAAGTCAACATGGAGCTTCAGAGTTTAAACCAACAGGAACGAACAAAGTTGCTTCCTGCAAAGGGCCATGTCCCTTTGCTACTCCTTTATGGGAGGGGCCAATCATCTCCAAGCCTTACTCCCGAGTTGCCCCCTTTATCTTAACTGTTCTTGCCTTCTGGCAGCTCTGCGCAAGTGCACACTGGGAACAGGCTCCCCCTGTTCTTCGGCCTCGCTGCTGTCAGATTCTGGAGGCTCCGGAGTCAGCACATAACTCCCAGATGGCCCTGGCCCCATCTCTGTGTCAGATGCAGATCCCTCATCTGAGCCTTCCCCAGACTCCAGGACTGGCCCATGTTCCTCCCCACTGTCCGACTCTGCTGCCAGCTCCGCAGGCCGCCAGCGGACCACAACACTTAGCAATTGTGTGACTCAGTTAACAACTGCAGTGATTCGCTTAAAAACTGTGGCAAGAAAGATTCTAAAATGGAGCAAAAGTTACTTAAGAAATGTCTCACTTAGCAACAGAAATGTTGGGCTCAATTGTGGCCATAACTAAAGGACTACCTGTACCATAAGTACAATTAGCCTCCTCCTTGGATCTCACTGTATAGGAGTAAAGTTTGATTCATGCATTCTCCCGTTGTGATTGACTGTTCCAATGTGGACAGCAAGATAAGATCTGACTGCACCAAACAATTTGTGTGCTTGTTAGGATTAATGTTTTTCAAACTTGGCATCTTTAAGGTAAGTAGGCTTCAACTCCCAGCATTCCCTAGATAAGCATATTCAGGGAAGTTGAAGTCAATACATCTTAAAGTTGCCAAGTTTGAAAAGCACTGGCTTAGACAGTTCCTTTATAGTGGATAGATGTGGTCTTATTTGTCATCTTTCTGAAAAATAAACTCATCAAGATAGTTTGCAATTAGTTACATGGTGCATATTAACCTAATTTTTTTTACCACACAGAACTGTTTAACCTATGATTGGTGATGTTGAGTTAGGCTGACAAGCAGAATTAGTTTTATCAAGTAAAATCTGCTGTCAGATTTTTTGCAATGAATGAAAGTTAACTACATCTAATTGTGGGAATAATTAAAGCTACAATTGTGCTGTCAAGTCTGTCTACCTTGTTATATCTCCCTTAATATATTACATATGCAGACACATAGCTCTAAATATTAGGCGTAGTGTATGCTACAGCAATGATTCTCAACTTTAGCAACTTTAAGATGTGTGGTAGATTTCCCCAGCATGCTGCCTGGGGAATTCTGGGAACTGAAGTTCATTCATCTTAAAGTTACTGAAGGTGAGAAGGCTACACCAGAACACCTGAAATTTGCAAAGTTGATGGAGTTTTGGTTGGGGGCTCTTGTAGCTATACCTCCATCTCTCTCTCTCTTCCCATAGTTAATGTGAAAGATATCAAGTTTCCTTCTCCACGTATATATCTACACTTACCTGCTGGATTCTTGCTGTTTCCAAGATCTCGGAACATACAATTTTAAGGCTTGTTATATGCAGCAACTTCCTTCTGCCATATAAAAACATTCCCACCATAATGCAATTGTGAAAAGTATTGGCCAGTTCATCATGAAATATTGAGGTGCCAAATGTTGAGGTGTTAGTCTTTCATCTCCATGATACCTGTATTTCAGTAATCTTCTAGAAATCTACCACCCATCTTCAGTCGTTTCTGCTGGTTTCTTTAGCTGTCCTTCTAAACAAGCTGTCACTTGGCAACACAACCTAAAACTTTTGAGGACAATCTTGACGTAGACACTGCTCACTATAAATTAGTTTTTCTTTCCTTCTGGATAAATAGACCATAATTTTTCAATCCCCTGTGTTTGTCTTGAGGATGGCAAGCAATACACCTCTGTAGGAACTTTCTGCCCTTGGTGTCACTCCTCTTCAAATAATTGCCCCTTGAACTAAGCATCACACAATCTTTATCAGGTGCTCTGCAGCCTCTGACTTTATGGGTGCAAAAGTGAAGATTTTATGGTTCCATAACAGGCCACTTCTGGATAGTGGACATACCTGGACCAATAATGATCTATGAATTAACTTGCTAGTGAAACTGGAAAGATGCTTTATTAACAGGTCACAAAATATTAGCAGCCACCAAGATACCATAAAGCCATTTATTTCTGTTCCTTTAAGCTGGATTCTGAAAAACCACATTCAGATTAAATTCCACAAAGAATCTCTTAGCACAGCTGCAAAAAGAAAAGGCATGGCATGATTAAATAATGGCAAGAGACTTTCTAAAATTTAGATACTCACTTTTGTCTCTGTTTAGGTCTGATAGAGCATTATTGGAGCATCAGTCAAATACTAACCTGATAAATGAATTTTGTTCATCCAAAGGATGTCTGCAGCTGATTTTGAAAAGTTAGCAGAAATAGGTAAATATATCAATATCTCTATATTTTTTGAGCCATCAAGTGGTGTCTTCTGAGTAATTTGGAACATCAAAAAATTGTTTGATGGAATTGTGTATTATATTTGAGTTAACAAGCTCTGCTGTGGCCATATTATCAAAAGCTATTTGGGATGAAATTTAGTTTGATGTGCAGAGTGTATATGAATTATTGGTATGCACATCTTGTGAAATTGTAGGAGATAATATTGCTCTCATTCTAAACTGTGGTGCAAATGAAATGATTACTTTAAACAGGAACTTCAGAAAGCTGGAGATGTCACTTTCTCAATTACTTTGGATGGCATTAAGGTGAATTTAGCATGATGAATGGCCCATCATTTTGAAAAATTGCTCTTAACGTGTAATAATGCAGACTTTTGACTTCTTTAAAAAAGGCATCACTGAAAATTTAAAAATACATGCATGGAAAAAAGAGCAAGGGTGAATTCCAATGGTTTAATGAGAAAAACAATTGCTTGTGTGGTACCCCAAAACTATTGGATTTTATCCAACAAGATCACGTTCATGTTCATTAACATATGTTTAATTCAGACATTCAATTAAGAAGAGATTTTGTATTCTCCTTCATAAATGATAGTCAAACCAATCTTAAAACAAATTGAAGTAGATTTTCAGTAACCTCAAGTTTTTCCATTAAAACTTTACTCAGCAGTTATAAAACATATTTTTGCTTCAATAAGAATTGAATCTTTCTCATTATTAAAATATGCCATTCTGAATCTTCAAAGCAGTGGTTTATACTTTTAAACTTTCCACACATTGTATTTCTTATTTCTATTCAGGGCCATCTGGTACTCGGCTGTTTAAAAAAAAGGCAAGATGGCTGCTCTGATTGTATGATTAAAGTCACCATCTTGACTTTTTTGACCCTCTTGCAGAATCCCCTGTAGCTGCAATATGATGTGTAATAACGGAGATGGTTAAGTATCCCTGGAGCCAGAAAATAGTCTTTTTAATGTTTTCAGCAGACAAAATACTGTACTGGGGACCAAACTAGATGAGATAGCTACCATGTTTCACTTCTCTGGTTGACTTATCTGAGCGGGAAGGCCTGCTTTGGAGAATAAAAAGAGGAGGGGATATGAAAAATGGCCAGTTTGTGGCACCTACCACTAGCAAGATTAACAAAGATGTTTAAAAACATGTCTGCCAAATGTTGGAAATGTAATCAGACCCCAGGCATGTATTACCCACATGTGGTGGACATGTGCAAAAGCAAAAAAAAAAAAATTGACCACATACATGGTTAGAAAAAAAATATTAAAGCAGCATATAGATTAAAAGCAGAAATATTTTTGTTGGATATAGTACCAGAAAAATATGATAAAGGGAATATATATTTAATAATGCATGTTTCGACAACAGCAAGAATTATATTTGCACAGCACTGGAAAAATGGGGAAACAGAAGGAGACATAATTTTAAAAAATTATTAAACTATGCAGAAATGGACAGATTGACGTTAAAAATAAAAGAAAAAGAAGACACAATATTTTCAAACATGGGATTCATTTTACAAATGGATGGACAATAGAGGTAGAAATTAGGAACTGGAAAAGTATTATTATGTAAGCAAATTGATACAGACAATACGCTGTTCACAAAGCATTTATGTGCGTGAAGAGAAAAGGTATAAATAAACTGTTAAAAAAGAGAAAAATTGCCAGTTTGGTCAGCAAGATGAGAAGCAAAATAAAAGAAAGTCAAGAAAATCATAAGAACCTACTGTGCTGTCATCCAGTGGTGGGATTCAAAAAATTTTACTACCAGTTCTGTGGGCGTGATTTGGTGGGCATGGCTTGGCTTGGTAGGTGTGGCAGGGGAAGGATACTACAAAAGCTCCATTCCTTCCCCACTCCAGGGGAAGGTTACTGTAAAATCCCCCATTCCCTCCCCACTAACCTACTTTCCAGCTCCATTCTCCTGTGCAGGGCAACCAAAGAAGACCCAGCCGATCAGCTGGGACTCAATGGGAGGCAGAGAATAGATGGGGGCGGGACCAGTCAGAGGTGGCATTTGCCGGTTCTCCAAATTACTCAAAATTTCCATTACTGGTTCTCCAGAACTGGTCAGAACCTGCTGAACACCACCTCTGGTGCCATCTCGAGTCAAGGGAGATACAGGTAGTCCTCGACTTACGACCACAATTGAGCCCAAGATTTATGTTGTTAAGCAAGACATTTGTTAAGTGAGTTTTTCCCTATTTTATGAACTTTCTTGCCACAGTTGCTAAGTCAATCAATGCTATTAAGCTAGTAACATGGTCATTAAGTGAATCTGGCTTCTCCCATTCACTTTGCTTGTCAGAAAGTCTCAAAAGGGAAACACGTGACTCCCGGGACACTGCCACCACCATATATATGAACCAGGTGCCAAGCATTTTAATTCTGATCACCTGACCATGGGGTGGCTGCAACATGGTGAAAAATGGTCATAAGTCATTTTTTTCCAGTGCCGTTGTAACTTTAAATGGTCACTAAATGAACTGTTGTAAGTCGAGGACTACCTGCATTAAGTGACTCTTCAATGTTTGGTGTCTATCCAGTTCCTCTCGGAAAACGAGTCTTGTGTGGAGAGAACAGCTTGCCCTCGAAAGTTGTGGGAGCTTCATCACTTGAGACTTTCAAGAAGAGATTGGACTGCCATTTGTCAGAAATGATATAGGGTCTCCCGCTTGGGCGGGGGGTTGGACTAGATGACCTACAAGGTCCCTTCCAACTCTGATGATCTGTTATCTGAGGAAAGAAATTGAAAGGAAACCTGGAAACCATATTAGATGGCTTACTTTTGCTTTTAGGAAAACAGATGGCCTGTCAGCATTTGTAGGAATGAGAGGTTGCCATTTGCCCTTAAGGTGGTGCTGTAACAGTGAATCCACTATTATATATTTTATATAAAGGTATTTCCCCCCCTCCAAAAAAAAATTTTTAACAGGAGGGGGTGTGGAAATTGTGATTATTTTTCTCACTGGAAAAGACAGTTGAGTAATCTCATAATCTAGCCTTGTCAACAGCTGTAAGGAAGTAGAAAAGTATGCTAAAATATTTTACTGAATGGACAGCTGCAGATTATTGGATTATTAACCATCATTTTTGTCTTGTTTCCAAAAATGCGTCTCCATTTCGGTTTGCTTCAGAACTGCAGAAAGATGAAGCTGAATATACAGCAATGGCAGAAATTAGGAGCTTTTCTGCAACGCAGTCAAACCGAGAATTTGGAATAAGCCTCAGTCACCCATTCTACGATGTGGCTCGACACGGTATTGTTCACTCTGCAGGTACATTTGCTGCAAACATCACAAAGGTTTTTGCATCCTTTCTTGCCCCTTCTTTTTCCAGCTCAACCAGGAGTGGGAGGCAGGAATCAAATCTGCAACGTGGCAAGTGTGGTACCACAATTGAAATCATGCCTTTTGGTGTGTACGGATATATGTGAAGCACACAAACTTTTATCATTGATTCGATTTAATGTATTTGCATAATGCTTCCAATGCTGAAGCATATTCATATGCTTTGTCATAAAAACAACTAAAATAAAACTCATTTCTTAAAAAGATGAGAGGATATTGGGGGGAAACCTCATTTTTCTAATATCCATACCAGGTAAGTTCAGGATGAATGTGTGAGTTTTAACACTTACCCAAGAGATATTACAATATTTGCTTCCTGAATTTTAATGAGAAGCAATCTAAAGACTGTGGCTGCCAACTCACACATGTAGGAAGACTTCCTGGATCCCCTCAGTGACCAACCAGTTCAATCAAATGCCTGAGTTTTCGTTTTAGAACTGGGGTAGATCATGTGGTGCTTCAGTGGCTAAGACTCTGAACTTGTTGATCAGAAAGGTTGGCAGTTCTGCGGTTTGAATCCCTAGTGCTGTGTAACGGAGTGAGCGCCCGTTACTTCTCCCAGCTTCTGCCAACCTAGCAGTTCGAAAGCATGTAAAAATGCAAATAGAAAAATAGGGACCACTTTGGTGGGAAGGTAACAGCGTTCTGTGTGCCTTCGGCATTTAGTCATGCTGGCCACATCACCACTTCAGACAGCGCTGGCTCCTCGGCTTTGTAACGGAGATGAGCATCGCCCCCTAAAACTGGAAACTAGGACGTATGTGTGAGGAGAACCTTTACCTTTACCTAGATCACATTGACCTACCTAAAACTAAAATGAAAATTCAGATCCTTGGCTGAAATCTGAAGAGAACTCAGTTACATATACCATAGCCAGCATGGTCTTTGCAGTCACATCCTTCATTTGAGGAGTAAGGAATGAAGAACAGAACTAGGATTAAGAAACATCAAAGAATATTGAAGAAGGTAAAAAAAATACCTCATGGTTTACCTCATGGTAAAAAAAAAACACCTCATGGTTTAATCGAGACGAAATCTTGCCAACATACCAACCAAGGCATATGAAAGCAGGGAAGTTCTGCCAAAACTAGAGAAAGTGATAGAAATGCAAATATTTACTATCAGTTCAAGCAGAGATTCTCTAACAACAGTTAATAACTTTGGGGAGTTATTAATAGATTATTATCTTACATCTTCAATGAGCAACAAAACTTCTGATTGTTTAAAAAGCCAAATCAGCAGAAAATGAGTGTCGCATTCAAATCAATAGCACTGATTGCCTTCCATAAAACAAATTTTCTCCTTAATTGGGCCTGAACAAGGCAGTTTCCCACTCTATATTTTATTCCCATAAAAGTTCAGAGTTTGAAGATCTGCAAATGTTTCCATATCTGCAAGTATCCAGACACCTCATGGTTGAGGACTATTAAATAACACTTCCTGGCCATTGATATACTCTCTCTCTCTATATATATATATATTGTAAAGATCTTTGTAAAATGTGTGATCAAAAGTTGATTGTGACACTTCCAGGCCCCTGTGAAAACAATCAATGAATTGTCCAGGTTTAGCAAAACCCTTCAACACAGAACAATCAATATCCTCAGTATGTTTTGTGTTGTATTCAGTTGCCTGAATTGAGAAACGATTAGGGCTGCTTAGAGAAGTTGACTGAAGCCCATACATTCTCAAATTGCTTTGCTCCCAAAATGTGAAATCAGATAGTTGGTCACCCCAACTATTTTAGGGTCCAAAATATCCAGACTAGGGGCTGCAATGGCATAATCAAATATTTTAATATTGTTTTTAATATTTTTAATATTTTATCAAATAAAGGTAGTCCTTGACTTATGACTCGTTGCTTAGCCCCAATTGAAGCTCCGCCCATTTATTATCTGCCTATAGGTGGAGCTTGCCTGTTTGTGACCATCATCTTGACTTTTTTTTTGAAACAAATTTTATTAATTTTAACAAGAAACAAACAAAACAAAACATCATTAAACATTAAAAACATAAACTGCTTTCCATCATAGATCTTTACAAATCAGGTAACACATTATTTTATGTCACATTTTTCTGGTTTATCCCATTTCCATGTAGATACATAAATTCCCTTTAACAGATTTCACATTATTTCTCTTTACTCTTATTCAATAACATTTCTTTTCTAGTTTATCTGCTATTCAATCATCACACTTATATTTTCCTCTGACTTATTTTTGTTTTTTTGTTTTTTTAAAAAAACAAATTTTGTTAGCTTTACAAAACATACAAACAGTCAAGGCATATTAACATAAAGAGTCTTTCTGGAAGAACCAGTAAAACGTGCCAAATGTAACATGTACATTTACATTATCTGCTCATCTTCATATCTTATCCCAATTTCTCCTTTTCATTCTATTGTCCAGATTATATTTCTTACTAATCAAATTTTTGCCTTTTAAAAAAACAATAGACAAAACATACATAACATAGAACATAAAAAACCTCATTTCTGAAAGCTGCTTAATCCTGGGTTAAAACTCTTCGCACAGACACAAATTCAAAAATCATATTTACTTTATATGTCAATCCATATCTTATTACCATTTTCAATTTTCTATATAACTTCTTCCCTCTTTTATCTTTCTTAATTATATTTTGTTTATCTTATCTCAATACAATTCATAGTACTTATCATTTTTTGTCTGTTCTTTTACAGTTATCCATTCATCTTTTTTCTTTGAATATACTTCTCCTGTACACCAATTGGAGTAACACCTTTAACTCTTTTCCCTAACTTAACAATACTTAATATAACACTTAAATCATATTGAGATTCTGGTTAGTACATTCTAGAATTACACAAAAAACTTTATAAGAAAAGCAAATACACTACAATTACAAAATGTAAGCCTACAACCCAGCAGAAATACCAAAAAAGAGCAAATCATACATACTAATACACATTTTACTCTAAATACACATAGAAAAACACACTTTTATGTACCTTCCAGAATCCCTTTTTCAATTAAATTTACCCATTGTCTCTAAATAAATTTTGTTTCTTAAAGTCTTGCTTCCCACCATTAAGGTTTTTCATCCCCTCCTTTCTCACTTGTTTGTTTTTCTCCTTGCCTTTTTTACCCCATTGTCTCTCCTCCTCCCTTTTCTTCTTCTGCTTACCCACTTTCTGTTGTTTTCTAACCTTATATCCACCTTTCATCTCATTTTTCTCTTTTTGGATTGTTTTCTCTACCCTTAAGATCCCCTTTTTCTTTTCCTCTTCCTCCTCCTCCCCAAAGTAGACCTATTGCTCATCCAAAATGGCTTCTTCTTCTTCTTTGTTCCAGTCATCCTGCTGCGTAGTCAATTTTTCATAAGTGCGTACCGCCATTTCTAAAACTTGAAAAAGAGTGCCCAAAGTATCTTTTCCATCTTGCTCTTCTTTCTTATATTTTTGGTATTGAGTTTTTAATTCATCCAAAAGCAATGCCATCCTGAAGAGAAAGACTTCTTCAAAAACAACCACCCAAGTATTTTTAATCAAGAGTAATTCCAAAAGAATTCCAAAGTCACTAAAAAGTCCAAATAAACTATTTCTTTCAATGCTTTTTTTTTTACCTTCTTCAATTTCTCTTTCTGGGGTTACTGATTGATCAAAAGGTTCCCATTAAAATGTATCTTTCTTTAAAATTCTAGGTAGTCTCCTCCTTTTTCAAGCTCTGCTCCAAAAAGTTTTTTTTCCTCTCTCCCCAATTGCAACAACAATTTCCCTTTAAATGCTCAGAAATCCATACCTCCAATGCGGGCTTTCCAATTTCTGAGGGTGTTAAGTCCAAAGTCCAAAGTCCTTTCTCTGATAGTTTTCAAGTTAAAATACCTTCGGTGCCCAATGCATTTTCCAGATCTGCATTTAATGTTTCTGTGGGGTGGGAGAGTAAGTAGAAAAAAAGTTTTCCCTTAGCGGCTTTCTCCGCCGCTCTTCTCTTCTTAGGGATACAATGTATCTTTCAGGCAATAAACAATTCCACTCCAGGGTTTTAGAAGCTGTTATTTTCCCGGCACAGCCAGCACTTTCACTTTTGAATTTTCTTTCTTCTTCTTCCTCCAGCACAATCTTTTCCAGCTGCCGGCTTCTTTGTGGCGGCCATCACTGACCGCCGCTCCACTGCCTTGAGAAAAGGAGGTTAAGCTGGGTGAGGAGGGGGTCTGCGACACCCCCAAACCCCTTCCCAGATCCTCCCTATCTTCGGCTGCCTCTACGGGGCAGCCTTATCCTCCAGATCCATCTGGATCGGAGGCACCAAGACGGCGAGCACAGCAGGGATCACGGAGAGACACGAATCCCTGCTGTCGCCGAAGCCCAGCAACCCGGAAGTTCCACCATCATCTTGACTTTTGTGGACCACATCCATAAACATCCCTTCTGTTGCTTCCACTGCTAACAACAAACACAGCTTTAATAAAGTGTAAAATTGACTTTGTGTGCAAAGCTGAGGTTTTAAACCAGTGTTTTTCAACTTTGGCAACTTAAAGGTGGCCGGCTGGGGAATTCTGGGAGTTGAAATCCATCCATCTTCAAGTTGATAAAGTTGAAAAACACTGCTGTAGACTTAAGACTCACCTTTCAACCAGCCCTCCTGAGTAGAAAACTTAAGCTTCTGACCACGATTTCACCTCGATACCCTTGTTGACTTTGCAGGTGACGACTCTTTGGGGAGAAAAGTGATCACCTTTAGTTCATGCCGCCTGCCTCCTTCTCACCAGATCAACCACTGCCAGTTATTGGAGTAAGTCTATATATTCTTTGCTTTCTGGTCCTTTCTGCTTTTTCCTACTGCACAAATCCAGTGTTTGCTCAGGTACTTCTCTCTTTTATTTTTATCTAGGCATTAGTATCAGCTTCAAGTCAGGCAGAAATAACAGTAACATAAGAATGTACAGAACACATCCCATCCAGTGGTGGTTTTCCAATTTTTTTCACTATCGGTTCTATAACGAGAGCTTGCTTTGTGCGCGCACGCTGAAGGCGCACTTTGCATGTGTGCGCAGATCTCAAAAACTGCCCTCTGTGTCTGCTAGTGAGGTGAGTAGTTTTTTAGCTCAGCTGAGGCGCGGCAATCTGCTCTACCACGCAAATCAGCTGAGCTAAAAAACAAGGAAATATAGGACAGGAAAGGGTATGGGCAGGTGGGCGGGGCCAGCCAGAGTTGGTATTTGCCGGTTCTCCAAACTAGTCAAAATTTCTGCTACCGGTACGCCAGAACTGGTCCAAACCGGCTGAATACCGCCTTTGATCCCATCTGCTTGATTGTCTACAAGTTTTTATATTTTAAAAAAAAATCCCTCACATTTGTTTTCATTTTTGTTTATAGTTTTCTGTATTGGATGGAGTTTTGTACCCTGTACCTGAATTGATGTGTTAATATCCATTCCCATAAAAGCCATTTTTAATTTCTTTGACGTTCTTGGTTATATAGGCATGTCAGGCACCGACGGTGTACGTTTTCTGTGAAAAGTTTCTTATGTGCAGGTAGTCCTCGAGTTACGACCACAATTGAGCCCAAAATTTATGTTGTGAAGTGAAACATTTGTTAAGTGACATTGCCCCATTTTACGGCTTTTCTTGCCACAGTCGTTAAGGGAATCATTGCATTTGTTAAATTAGTAACATGATTGTTAAGTGAATCTGGATTTCCTATTGACTTTGCTTGCTGGAAGGTCGTAAAAGGGGATCACATGACCCTGGGACACTGCCACTGTCATAAATATGAGTCGGTTGCCAAGCATCTGAATTTTGAACCACCAGGATGCTTCAACGGTCATAAGTGTGAGAAAAGGTCATAAGTCATTTTTTTCAGTGCTGTTGTAAATCCAAACAGTCACTAAATGAACTGTTGTAAGTCGAGGACTACCTGTACATATTGGTTTTGTGGAGATTTTTGTCTGGAAGAAGAGAAATGAGAACAATCCAACTTGTTTTAGGAGGAATTGTAAGGATTTGAGGGGAAAGTCAACATCAGCAAGAGGGGTGTTGGATGTGGTGTCATAATAAAAGGCCCATCCCATTGGAATACGTACACCTAAAAGGAATGGGGCTTCAGTCAAAGTACCACAATGTCATCTTGCAGGTTTTGATGCTTCCCAGGGGTGGGCTTCAAACATTTTAGCAAAGGGTTCTCTGCCCAGTAGCTGGGCGGGCGTGGCCATGGCGGGCGTGGCCTAGTCTGCCTCCTGCACCATGTTGGGGGAGGCGTTTTTGCCCTCTGGGCTCCAGAGGCTTTCTTCGAGCCTCCAGGAGGGCAAAAACAGCCTCCCCCGAGCTCCAGAGACCCTCCAGAGACCAGAAATGGCTCCATTTCCGGCCTTCCCAAATTTCCAGGAGCCCCATTTTCCCCCTCCCCAATCCTCAGTGCGTGCCCTGCACTTACCTGCATCCAAAACGGACCACGTGGGGACTCCTGGGAGGGGTAGGCAGGGCCAGCCAGGACTGGGATTTGGGGGTTCTCCGAACTGCACGGAATCTTAGTTAGGGGCTCTCTCGAACCCCTGTGAACCCCCAGCAGCCCAGCCCTGACACTTCCCCATCTCATCCCACACAGGGGGTCCCTGAATTGAGGGTTCTTACGTTCTCCAGAATGCCCTGAGCTCTCCTCTGCTAAGAAGGTGTCCGTGGCATTTGGCGCTTACTGAAATTTACCTGCACAAGTGTGTGAAAATGGTAAATATTCAGGATCAAGTACATTCCTTTCCTTTCTTAGATGGAATTGTTTTTAATCCCTTTATAAACCCAGAATGCGTCTGTTAATGCTGCTTGTTGTTTTCTCCTTTTCCAAAATCCTCTTTGTAGATATTTGAAGTACACGCTGGAACAGTATGTGGAAAGCGATTACACGCTTGTTTACTTTCACTATGGATTAAACAGTCAAAATAAGCCGTCTCTCAGCTGGTTGCAAAGTGCCTACAAAGAATTTGACCGGAAGTAAGTTTTCATTTGTTTGCTTGTTTGTTTTGCAAATGGATTGCCTTACTTGTAAAAGCACAGTTCAGCCAAACTGAAATATTAACTTAGAACTAAGCAACTCAGAACTAAGGAGAAATTTCCTGACAGTTTGAACAATTAATCGGTGGAACAACTTGTCTCCAGAAGTTGTGAATGCTCCAACACCGAAAGTTGTTAAGAAGAGATTGGATAACCCTTTGTCTGAAGTGGTGTAGGGTTTCCTGCCTAGGCAGGGGGTTGGACTAGAAGACCTCCAAGGTCCCTTCCAACTCTGATATTCTATTCTAATTTTTACTGACTATCGAACTTCATCCTTTCTGCCTTCCAAATTGCTTTGGTCTGTCTCTTGAGATCATCTCAACATCCTTGTGAACGGAAGAGACGCTGAGAGGTAATGGTTAGAAGAATCCAGATTCCAAGTCCAATATTCTTGTGGTTACAGCTAAAGTGGCTCTTACAAGCCACAAAGCCTACAAACCACATGTAGTTTAAAGAACACAGGATCTGTATCACTTT